TCCCTCATTTGGCCTCTAACTGTGAATTGCATGTCTACCTGATTAACCACTAACTGTTTGTTAGATTCGGACATGCACGCTAGTTTTGCAAGATATTTATCCCTCATCTGGCCTCTAACTGTGAATTGCATGTCTACCTGATTAACCACTAACTGTTTGTTAGATTTTACCAAGAAGTGCCTTGCACCCATCTTGTAAGTGAAACGTAACCTCACAATTAGAGCTTTGTACTCAGGTTGATTGTTTGTGACTTCAAATCTCACTTTTATCGAGTGGTACAAATGATTTTCGGTCAGATTTGTTAGAGCGAGACCAAACCCTTCCCTGGTTTGACTAGAAGCTCCATCCATATGCTAGATCAAGGTATGCCTGTCGATAGTCACTTCTTTGTCGAGTTTGCTCAACTCGGAATAGTAGGCTAGGAGTTGACTATAGCTTAAGCTTTGATGGCAATTTGGGACACGTTGGAGAGACTGAACTTGCTAAATTCGATAGCCAGTTTGAGAAGCTGATGGGAGTGTATCAGTATGGTGTGAACTGATTTGAGTAGATCAACTGGATTGGTGATGATCCCGGTAGGATACGTTTGGAAGTGCGGGCGGAGCTTGTCGACATACATAATGAGAGAAAATGTAAAATTTTCATAATTGGATATCCGAGCCTGGCTTCTCGGACAACTCGACCTATGTAGTAGACTGAGAATTGCTTCCCTTGTTCCTTTCAGACTCAAACCGACCGATGGCTTAGGTTTGACTCCTAAGTACATAGAGAGTTCTTCATTCAGTTTTGAGCTTTAAAGAAGCGATGACGATACTATAAAATATTTTAATTTTTTGAATGCTTGTTCACATTCATCTGACCAGACAAAATTCATCTGTCGGCTCAATGTTTTGAAGAAAGCAACACACTTATCGCCCAATTTTGAGATGAACCAGCAGAGGCCTATGATCCAATCATTCAACTTCTGAACCTCCTTGGTGTTTTGTGGAGTTTGGGCTTGTTCGTAAAGCCAAGGGAGCCGAATACGAAAAAATTTTTAAGCTCGAAATGTAAACGAGCCGAACACGAACAAAAGTTTGTCGCTCGTGTTCTTTTCTAACTAAATATATTTTCACATTTTATTAAATCAAATCCTATAAATTATAATATATAATAATTTATTACTAACAATATTTCAATATTAATTATATAAAACAGAGTTAAAAAAAATTAAATAAATAAAATATTTTTAAATATATATTGCCTACGAAAAACCCTAACCGGTTCTCATTCCGTCATTCGTCTCTAGAAACTTTTCTCGTTCGTTCAGCGTTCTCTCCCTCTCCCTCTTCTGAGTTGCAACTATACTCCTCTGACGGCCGTGACAGCTTAGGGCTTGCCGTCTATACTCTTCTATCTAATCTCTATTTCTCCTTCTCGACACTGTCGGCTCGATTGATTAGTATTCTTGCTTGTTTGCTCGATAGTCTTGCACGGCTGTTTGTTTGGAGACCTAGGTGTTATCTTTGAGTATCTTTTCAGTAATATTTCATATTTATCTTCAGGTATGCCTCTTGTATTAAACTTTCTTAAATTTCTTTTAGATCTATTTAGATTTTTTAGTGATCTTAGGGCTTGTAGAAGATTTATTTATATTTAGTGGTTTTTTCATTATAATGTTAGATTTATTTAGATTTATTTAGATTTTCATTATATAATTAGGGCTTTTGGATTAAGTGAGGTGAACACATTTAGATTTATGTGTATGTAAATCTGATTTAGTGGTTTCTTCGTTATAGTGTTTAGATTTATATTTAGTACCTACATAATATTCCTTAAAGGGTTTTGATGTGGTATCGAATCATTTGTCTTTATATTTATGCTAATATTTAGTCCCTACTTTTTTTTTTATGCATTATATTCTGCTGCTGTTGTAGGCTTTAGTGATTCAGTATGTTAATCTTGGGTATGCATGAGGAATGAGCTGTCATTCTTCGACTAGAAATTGTTCTAGACATGTGATACATAACAAATGACTGGTATGTGTGTAAATTTGCAAAAAAATAGTATATTTGTGGCCGCAGAATTGAAAGGAAAATATGTTGGGAAAATCTACATTTGGTTAAATATGGTTTCAAAGTTGTCATTAGATATGCAACGTATTCTTATACTTTACATGCTTAACACTTGAACTTAGATATTTGTTTATACATGCATAGATCATTCGGCTCTCATGTATTCTTATATCTAAAACATGAGCTTCAGTTTTCCCATATATACTACCTTTACTTATTTCTCAAAGGCAAAAATGTGTCTTTGCAAATATTGATTCTGAAAATCAAAAGGTTACAAATGTAAATATCAAACTGTACGTGTTATATATGTAGCTGTCTAAGAATTGTTCAAAATTACAATTTTTTTGGTTTGGGGAAGATTTGAAAGCGCTTGTGATTTACTGTTATGACTCTTGCTGTGCATAAGTTTAGAAATGACTACTTGATGCTCGACTATTGTGTTGAGATGTGGCATAAGTTGAGAAATGACTACTTGATGTGGCATAAGTTTGTCATATTGTGGTGAATCATTATGTGACATAAGTTTTCCAACTGTTATGGAAGATGAATACTTGAGTTTATAATCAAGTTATGTAGATCAGCCTTGAGTTCAAGTTCTGTAAATACTCAAGTTCTGTAAATACTTGAATGCTAAATTCTTGCTTCTCGGCACTGTTGGCTTCTGTTAAAATTATGGCTTTTGTAATTAGTGAGGTCAACATATTTAGATTTATGTGTATACATTACTTCTCCTTCTCGGAATTGTTACTCTCTTTATCTTATGCATTATATTCTGCTGAATATAAAATTATGCGGTATAACTTTAGAAACTTTGGAAAGTTACTGTTGAGGAAAGTTACTACTGAGGAATATAAATTTATGCCTAATAATGAGGATGTTGATGCCAGAGGAATGTTTCAATGTTGTTTAACTTCGGAAATGTTTATTTATTAAGTTACTGTAACTTTGGAATGTTTCATTCAAGTTACTGCTGTTTATTTGGAATGTTTATTAAGTTACTGTAACTTTGGAATTTTTATCAAATTACGGCTGTAACTTTAAAGAAGGCAGTTGTGAGTCTTGTGACCAGTTTACTGCTGTAAAATTATGAAAAGATTTTGGTGCCCCATTACTGCTGTAATTATAAAAGTCTTTAGAGAAGGCAGTTGTTACCAGTTTTTATCTGATGGGCATGAAAAGATTTGTAAGTGCATTTGATCCTTAGTCTATAATTAAATGACTCATTATTTTGACTAATCAGTTTTTATTCATCTCTTCTAATGCATTGGTCTTTTGGAGTCATTATTCTATAATTACAGGACTCATTATTTGGAGCAATCATTGATCCCTTGGATTTTATGTGAATCAGCAAATATTTTTTTTCATTGATCACGTGGAGCAATCTTGATGTCTTTTAGAACGTGAAGCTTGAAGAACAGCTTACCAGAAAACAAGAAGCAGCAAAAGGTGTGTACCACCATGAGCTCTTCAAAGAAAATTGCCAATCTGCAATCAAGATGGATCCCAATTTTCCCAATTTGAAGAGACTGCCGACTGGAGGAAATTGTGAAGAAACGTGATAATGTTTTTGTAAATTTGTAAAATTAGTACATAAGTTTTTATTTTGTAAAATTTTGTAAAAAAGGAATTAATATTCTTTGTGTAAAGTTTTGTAAATTTGTATTGAAGTTTTTGTAAAAATTTGTATTTTGTAAATTTTCATCTTTTTGTTTAATTTGTAAATTGTAAAATTTGTAATGAAGTTTGTATTTTGTAATATTGGGTAAAAAAATATTAATATTTTTTTTGTAAAATTTGGTTTGCAAATTTTTTTCTAGAAATTTATTCTTTAAATATGTTTTGAATTAAGTTGTTAGTACAAACAGTTTTTTTTTTAAATTATTATTACTTTTTTTCTTAAAATAAATTATTATAATAATTTTATATTATAACGAGTCAATTTCGAGCCGAACACGAACACGAATATCATTTTAAGCCGAACACGAACACACTGTTCACGGGCCATTTCGAACACGAGCTAATTTCGAACGAGCCGAGCATGAGCTAGGCTCGACTCGTTTACAGCCCTAGAGGCTTATGATCCAATCATTCAACTTCTGAACCTCTTTGGTGTTTTGTGAAGAACATGTTGATTAGTGCCTAAATCTTATCTAGGTTAGTCTCGGGGTTTGGACAACTTAAGAATTTTCCCAAAATTAGGTATATTAGTTATGTGATATATATGTTGTAAATTTAAAAAAACCATAACATAATAACAAAACAAAGAAAGTAAAATAAAATATGAATTTATTACAACTCTTCATTTGTGAGATCTTAAAGTGGGGCCATTATATTGCCAAGCACTATCCAATTCTTATGTATTTACATATATAACAGTCAAATCTTTCGTATCATATAAAAAATATCATTATTTTAATTAAAAAATAATAAATATAGATTTTTCTTACATATATGTAATTTAAAAGAAATAATTGATGCAAGATGGTAGAGATGTAAATACATAAGAATTGAGTGTTCATTTCTTATTATTTACATTCCCAACACCAAAATTTCAAAATTTACACTTTACTTATCCTTGAAAACTATTTCACTTTTATAAGTTAAGTGAAGGTATATGATGCAATAAAGAAAGATCCGGATGGTAAATGCAAAATCCAGGCATTATATATGCAAACATATAAGACTTTGGCGGTGTTAAGTTGCAACTTAGATTTATATTTGATAGTTTTTATAAAATCCGATAAATAAAAATTTATCAAATCCACACTGCGAAGACAAACAAATTGCAGTAAGAGTCCTCCTAATGTAAAATTTTATCAGGACTTCAATCATAATTTACCACATATATGATAGAATCTCTTCATGCATTAAACTATTTAGCTTTTATATTCAATAAGGCCTACTGTACATATAGCACATTTTAATTGGAGTTCTTAGCCACATGTGTAATTTACTCTTGCAGTCAAACGGCTGAAAGAAACATAAGCTGAATAGGGGACAGAACTAGCAGCTGCACCACATTGCTACCTGATGGAGGCGGAGAAACGCACCCGCATTCTGCTCCTGCACAATGCTTTCATCGTGACCATGGACTCTGACTCAAGAGTCTTCCGGAACGGCGCCCTCCTAATAGCCGGCGATAGGATCGAAGCGGTGGGACGCTCGCCGGATATTATTCGAGATTTCTCCCATCGTGCCGATGAGATACTTGATCTCGATGGACGCTTCTTGCTCCCTGGTATGTATTCTCCCCTAACCCGAGCTTTCTTTTGCTTGGAGCGGTGCTCATATCTGTTTATAATTGTGGGCTAGGGTTTATCAATACTCACGTCCACACCTCCCAGCAGCTCGCGAGAGGGATTGCGGATGATGTAGATCTGATGACGTGGTTGCACGAACGAATATGGCCTTACGAGTCCAACATGACAGAGGAGGATTCCTACATATCGACGCTGCTCTGCGGAATCGAACTCATTCGAACAGGGGTCGGCGTCTTCATCTGCGAAGAGTAGTTCCTTATTATTTTCTTCATCATTGATGACAGCAATTCTTTTTGCATAACTTTGCTTGCTCCTTTTTTTTTTGTCATTTATAGCTTTTAGTAATGACAATAGCAAATGTTGTGATGACAGTATTTATATTAGTGCTTCACCTAACGACGCAAGGTTGGCAAACATACAGCAGCGGGGTAGGATTTAGTTAATCTTAGGAATTTGGATTTACAAAAGCTTTTTTTTAGAGAAAAAAAAGGGCTACACTTAGCTTTATTCAATGAAAAACAAGTACAAGGAAAACTATCGAACAAAATACAAATAATACTTCTCTACTAATATCCACAAAAAGAAAAGACGATTCTAACATAATAAAAAATTCTCTATTCAAAATGTCCCTCCTGACAATCCACATTCACAAAGAAGTCTATGTTGAGAAACACCACATGCAAAATAATCCTTCATCACTCAAATCAAGGGATTAAGAATCGAATCACAGTTATATAACCGTCGGCATAGTCACGTTGTTGCACAATGAATTATTTCGTGCACTCGGGAAGAAGAAGCTGAAGGATCACGCCAATCGACATAGCTATGCCTAGTTGCGACATAATCACACCACCCGACATAGCTATGCCGGTTTTAGGCGTGGCTATGCTAAGTAGCATGCACAATTGTGCCCTTTGGAGTGCTACTCTTTCGGGTGCTGCATTGCTACAGGCTTCACACTCCAACATTACCTTACTTGAAAATTGATAGCACTTGACGCATGTCCACTAGATATGCATCTCCATATGTACCATCTTCATAGTCTCATATTGTAGTGTGGCTCACCCTAGGGCTCAACCTTCCTGGACTCACATTGAAGTCAAACATAGTTCCAGTTTCTCGTTAGTAACTACCTTTATCAATATATCTGTGGGATTTTGAGTTGTGTATCTTCTCTAAAAGCAACTGCTCATTTTTTAGGAGAGAGCGAATAAATTGATACCTCAGTTGAATGTGCTTTGTCCTGGCATGAAAAACATCATTCTTAGCAAAATGAATAACACTCATATTGTCACGATGAAGCTTTTCAATCTCTTGCTCCTTGCCCGGTTCGGTTATAAAGCTTTGTAGCTAAATCATCACTTTGCTAACCTCAATGATAACATTGTATTCAAGTTTTATAGTTGAAAGTGCAATAATTTTTTGCAATTCAGAAACCTAACTCACCAGTGTGTTCCCAAAATGAAGATATATCTTATCATACTCCTACCACTCAAATCACTAAAATCTCATTCTGGATCTAAACATACGAATGATTGTAGATTGATCCCTGCACTTCCATAACAAAGCGCCCTGTTGATAAATAGCTGAGAATCCACTTCATTATATCCAATTGATGCCTGATTGGATTGCCCGTGTATCTGCTAATCACTCCCACTGCGTATGCAATATATGGACTTATACAAATCACAACAAACATCAGATTTTCAACTGTTGAAATATACAGAGTTATCCTTATCTCTGCTTGCTTTGCCTCAAAATTAGCCAATAATTTCTTAGATAGATTAAAGTGACTACCTAAGGTGGTGGAAACTGTCTTTGCTTCACCCAAGTTGAAACTTTTTTTGAGATAATTTCAATGTACCTGCACTATTATCTGTGTTGATTCTCATCACATGGATTTTTCTGGTTGAACCAAAATACTTCATTGCAAACTTACTTGATAATTGCTTCTTTATGCTCCTTTTTTTTTATATCCACCATTGCAATCAACATGTCATCTTATACAAAAGAAGCAATAAATAATAGTTATCAAATTTTTTGATAAATCAATAACAGTCTGTCCAACACTTCATGTACTCACTGTTTGACATGAACCTGTCAAAAAATCTATACCACTGTCTTGGGGCCTGTTACAAGCCATAGAGAAATTTCCTTAATTCGCAAACCAAATCTTCTTTCTAGAACCTCATAGACCCATGTCAAACAATCTATACCACTGTCTTGGGGCATGTTACAAGCCATAGAGAAATTTCCTTAATTCGCAAACCAAATCTTCTTTCTAGAACCTCATAGACTCACAGCTGCACCATGTATAATTGATTCTCTAGATATCCATGTAAGAAAGTTGTTTTTATATCTATCGGCTCGAGATTTAGATCTTCCTCTGCCACTAAACTCAACCAACTCTGACGGTTGTCATTTCATCACAGAAGAAAAATCTTAGTGTAGTCCACTTCTTCCTTCTGTTGGAACTCTTTCATAACAAGTCTTGCCTTGTAGAATCTGCTACCATCTGACTCCTTTTTTAGCTGGTAGACCTATTTGTTGTGTAGTGCTCTTTTGCCATTTGGTAAAACTGCCAAAATTCAGGTCTGGTTTGACTTCAAGAATTACATTTTATCATCCATGACAAACTCCCACTCATTTGATTCTTCAACTTGAGTGGTATCCTTATGACACTTTGGTTCTCCATCATCCGTTGGCAGCTGATAGTACAAAGAAGGAGAATACCTCTAGATCGGTCGAATTGCTCTGTTGGACCTCCTAACTTCAGTAGCTGGTGATTGAGGAACTTTCGGTGCTTGATCTGATTGAGCACTTCCTCTTTCTCCTCACTTCTAATTGTCAGTATCTTCTATCTCAACATACTCAAACTCTTCTGAAGTAACCAACGGGCAATCCTAAGTTTTGATCTTATCATTGTACATCTCCATCTCATTGAAAGTAATAACTATGCCCCTAATGAATTCTAGATTTTGATAATCCCATAATTTGTGCCCAAATTCACCGAGTCATACTCAATGAAAATACGCTTGACAGATTTGAGTTAAGTTTACTCATCGACCCTACATCAACATGTACATATGCAAAACACATAAATACCTTCAAATGAGATATATTTACTTCTTTTTCACTTTAAACTTCTTCAGACAAGCCTTCTTTCAAAAGTACCGACGAGTCACGGTTGATTAGATACGTTGCAATGTTCATTGCTCTGCTCAAAACTGTCTTGACAAACCTGCCTGCAACCTCTTACTTTCGACACATTATGTGATGGTTCTGTTCATGCACTTAACTCCTCCATTATGCTGTAGAGTTCTCGGAACAGTGACTCATGCTTGATCCCATTTGAAGCACAGTAATTTCTAAACATCTGATCACGATACTTGTCTCCTTTATCTGATCTGAGACACTTCAGCTTCAAGTCTGTTTCATTTTCTACAATGATCTTTTACTTCTTATGCACTTCAAATACGCCAAAATTTTATTTTAAGAAGTAAAACCATTTCTTTCTGGTGTGATCATCAATACATGTCATAAAATATTGAGAATCTCTAATGAATTGAATTGAAGTGGGACCTCATACATCGGTATGCACTAACTCTAGTTTCTTTAACTTTAACATCGACCCACATTTGGAGAAAGAAACGTTCTTCTGCTTGCAATATCACAATATTTATAAAAATCTAAATTTATAGATTTTAAACCCAGAAGTTTAGTCTTTGAAAGTAGGGACTTCGTACTTTTTTTGCTCATATGACCAAACCTACGATTCCATAGATCAGCATCTACCTTGGTTCCAACAACATCAATGAAACGTGTCATTTCATTGATCATGTCTCTGGTCACCTTCCATGAGTCACCTATGAAAGTAATCACGTATTCTAACTTTCCCAACTGATTTACATATATCAGATTTCTCTTCAGACTTGGAACATGTCTAACTTTATCAAGCTTCAAGCTTGTTCCATTTTGTAACTTGATATTCACATCACTCTTTTTTATGATATTGCGGGTCTTGTTGTCTCCAAAATAATTTTTTTCTAGATCACAGAAAGTGTAATTTTTAAACACATCTTTTTTGATACATGTATGAAAAGAAGAGTCTGAATTTACTATCCAAAATTCAGTACTGACCACAAATAACTCCAGGGAGCGCATTGAATTTCACTAGTAGAGACATTTGTAGAGAAATCCCGTCTTAGCCTCCACCACCACCATTTCTTGGAGTTTTGTAGTCCTTAAAATGCCATTTCTTTACGAAGTTCTAACATTCTTCTCTGTCATTACCTCTTCCTCTTTTGGACTTTAATCTATTATGTTTGTGTTCCTGTCCAGTTTTTTCCCCTGTTTTCAACATTTAATGCAGAACATGAAGATTCACTTTCGCTTCTGCTAACTTCTTCATTCAGTACAAACTTCACGCTATCATTGAAGGTCAACATCATATTTTTAGAAGAGTTGCTCACCGCAGTGACCAAATTATCTCAGTTGTCTTGTAATGAAGACATAATTAATAGCATTCTGTCTTCATCATCAAATTTGATCCCTCAGAACACAACTGATTAGTTACAGTATTGAAATTATTATGTGTTCAACCACTAAACTACCTTTCGCTCTTCATATTGGATGACATCTTTAGAAAAACTTTATTTGATGCAGAAAGGGATTTTATAATTATTTGTCAGTCCCACAATGAGATTCACCGTGATTTTATTATTCACTATATGAATGCAACAGACGAGGAAAGTGACAGACAGATCAAATCTAGAGCCGCTCGATCCAACACTTCTCATTTCTCTATAGGCATCCATTTAGATTTCTTAGTGATTCATTGTAGCGACAAATATAATTTTTTATGATACAACAAATCCTTCACTTGCATCCTTTAGAGTGTAACGTTGGATCGATTAAACTTCTCATTTCTACTCTGCACAACACTTCATAGTCCATTTCTCTCACTTGAATAAAACACCCCTCTTTGATATCACTTGTTGGAATGCAAATATATACTTAGGGTTTCGATCAATTTGAAATCAAAATAACACCGCAAAATAAGATCACACCAATTCGAGAAATCCATAACAAGATTTCAAACATAAATGTACAACAAAACAATCCTAAAAACACGCACCAAAATTTATATGGAAAAACTCGAGATGAGAAAAATCCGTGAAGTCACATCACTAAAAATTTTCACTATAAATCGGAGAAATTTATAGATTACACCACTCAAAATCTTCTTTATAAAATTACTAGAACGTATAGAACATCGCTCCAAACATTTCTCTTAATCTCACAAGAGAAAGTCCTCGCTTCAAAATCACCCTCCCGACAATTCACATTGACAAAGAATTCTCTGTTGAGAAACACCGCACGCGTGATAGTCCTTTGTCGCTTAAATCAATGGATTAAGAACTGAATCACAGAGATATAACCGTCGCCATAGTCATGCCATTACACGAGATAATTATTTCGTGCGCTCGGGAAGGTGTAGCTGAATGATCGATCCAACCAGCCTAGCTACGCCTGGTTGTGGCGTCGACATGCCGCCCGGCATAGCTACGCCAGCTGCACGTGTGGCTACTCCAACCAGCAAACACAGCGGTGATGGAATGCTACTCCTTCTGGTGCTACAGTGCTGCACGCTACATACTCCAACAGATATCATATGGCCTTTGGTCATTTAATCTACTGTCAAAGCAGTTTTTGTAGGCACGTAGCTAGGTGATCTACTTTTTCTCTCCGTAACTTCGAATTAACTATCAGAGTACCTTTCTACGGGAAACCTTCTTTGGTGGATGGTCTCTAATCTATTTGATTCGGTGCGGGCAAGGAATTGTTTTGTTTTTGACATCCCAAAAGCAAAACTCAACCCTTAGATGGCGATTTGTACTGAGCGACGGCCATATTTAGATGATTTTTAGTTTTGCATGGACACGTATCATGTATGATATAGAAGTAGTTCTTAGCTCAACTTTAGTTTGCTAATGTAAAGTTTAGGCTGGTTCCTGCTTTTAAGGTGAAAACTGATTAAAATCTTTAGTAGCTTTTTGGAAACATTCTTACTGAAAGTTTTTTAAATGACATAACTCTGATAACTTTTTTTTTTTGGGTTTACTGAACATGCTTTATATGCTATTAAATTATAAATACTTGTATCAGGTTACATGTTTTGCTGAAGCAGGTGGCCAGCATGTCAGCGGGATGGCAAGGGCAGTCAAGTTGCTTGGTTTACGTGCATGCTTGACACAGTCAACAATGGACTCAGGGCAAGGTCTTCCAGCAAAATGGAATGCACTGTCTACTGAACACTGTATTCAGGTCAAACTTAAAATACTGAATTTTCTGTATTGCTTTTAAGCTCTCTTGGTCAGATTCCAATGGCGTTTCAACTTTTCTCTGTTTCAGTGGAAGTATATGTTGGCTGACTGATCTTTATGCCTATGCTTAAACTCATCTGGAATTCCTTCTTTTTTTCTCAAGCCACTAAAAATTTCAATCCAATTTGATTTGCCCTAGCTACCTTACTTCACATGAATGATTTACTACTTTTGTGATAAAAATCTCGTATGAAACCGCGTATGCTGTTGAGGTCACTAAGTAAATCACTGAACTCTCATATACTGAAATTAATATATATTAAATTTGTTACTAAAAATAGCTGCCGGATTAAATTTACAGCAATTTGAGCAGCTTAGACCTTAGCGATGACTTTTTCTCAAACCTCAAAAATAAATGGCAGATTTGATAGTTTTCTTTAATTTTTTTATTTGGTTTGAATACGCGGAAGACTAGAGATTTAAATGCTTGTTGGAAGTGCAACAGGCAAAGAAAGAGAAAAACTAGCTGTATTATAAAGGGAATTATCCATAGAAATAGTAGGTCAAGCTTTACAGAATAGTTGAAATTGTATACGAAGGCAGGAACAGTTGAACTGAGAGGAATTGGTCATGGAATGCATTTTCAATCTGTTAGGCAGAGAGTAGATGATTTACGAGAGGATCCTTTAAGTGACAATTTGTGAGATCTTTAATGAAAATACATCATGGAATAACTTAGTTGAAGGCTCAGTGGCGAAAAATATTGAGCCAGTCAAGGAGATTTGCACGTTAATTTGGAAGGTTGGAAGGAAAGATAAATTAAAATCAGATGGAAGAGATGATATTTTTGGGCATTATATCTAAGTCCTACTAGTTTTGTTAATTATCTCCGAGCATATATGTCAGTCTTGGTGCTATATTTTAGATAATTTATCAGAATTATTTGAAGACTAGCTTAAACTAGTCAATGCAAAGCTGTTCTAGCTGAAGCATGAACATTAGTGCATACATCCAATATGAAAATTTGGTTTTCCGATGGATATTACTTTGACATTTATCAGCACAATTAAATTAAATTTATTTATTTTTATTGGCTTCTTGGTAATCTGTTTATGAGAAAGAATACTAGAAGGGTGGTTTGTATCCTTAAGTGGATTTCAGATTTTATTTCCTCTTTGAATTTTTAGTTTATTATAGATAACCTTGAATGAAATACATTTCCTAATGATGCTCAATTCTGACAATTCTTTATATTGAATTGCAGTCTCAGATTGAACTTTACAAGAAACATCATAATACAGCAGATGGACGCATCAAAATATGGTTTGGACTAAGGCAAATTATGAATGCAACTGATAGGTTACTTAATGAAACAAAGGAGGTCGCACAAGAATTGAATACTGGCATACATATGGTATTTATCTATGTACTAATAATTAAGACATTGTCTTTTAGATGCTTTATTTCTAGCCTTTTTGTTGCTCACCTCAGTCGAATTCCTTTTGTTATTCTTTTTTTTCCTTAAAAAATATTGATTTTGTTTCTACAAATTATTGCTTGATCAACTAACACGGAGAAATGCCTCGAGGTTTATGTTAAATTTTTTATTTTTCTTTGATATCTTATGATTTTCCAGACGTTTTAATAAAAGCATGCTAATTTACTAAACTTAATGTTATTTATCTAAGCTAAATGCAACATAAATTTGTCCACTATGTCTTGGGATATGACTTGATTTGCCTTTATCTTGAAGGATCTGATAAGAAATTCCAAGAACAAATCCCAACTTTATCGGGACTTAGGATTAATTAGAAACTAAACCACACCGTGGAATAACGAGATCGCTTAAGATTCGAGAAAACTAGAATAAAAATATGAATAGAAACACAATCAAAGTAACCAGAAAAACACACGAGAATTTATGTGGAAAAATCTGAGAATGGAAAAAAATTACGTAGCCATACCGCCATAAATTTCATTATGAAATTCAGAGAGTTTATACAAAAGAACTCACACTAAATTTCCTTTTTTATACACAAGAAAACTTAGAGGACACACTCCACAATATTTCTTCATGCAAGAATAATGCCTAATTACCGAAATTCACCTCTTCAACCTTTCTCACATTCACCTGGATATTTGTCGAAGAATGCTAGAGGAAGATACTCCTTGCCCCTCTTTTCGCCGCTTGAATTTGAACATAAAACCGAAAATCTATGAAAAACCTCCCCTTGCACATATGCGCCAAGCTTTCTGGAGATAGAACATAATTTGGGTTCTTAGGCGCCCAAAGGTTGGCGCCTATGCGGCAACACCACTGCTGCGCCCGCATATAGTAGGCGCATAAGCACCCATGGCCGATGCCTATGCACGGCCTCTCTGGGCCCAGGCATTAGTGGGCGCATATATGCCCACCGTGCGCCAACCCCTCTATCAAACCGCGCCCAATGGGCGCTTGAGTGCCCATAGCTGGAGCCTATGCGCCGTCATTTCTGCCTACTTGCATGTGGGTGTTCCAATGAGGCTCCACAGCATAACAATCTCCCACTTAGAGACTGATTGGACCCAACACTAGTCCTCTGTTCCTGCACCACCATCTAAATCGCCTTTATAGACGTACCGTGGTGTGGATCAACCTTGGTCTCAACTTTCATGAAACCCAACTGAAGCTAATCACAACTTCAGTTTCTCAATAATCATCACCCTCATCAACATATCTGCAAGATTATGAGCAATGCGTATCTTCTCCAGTAACAACAACTCATCTTTAAGAAGAGAGAATAAAATAATACTTCAGCTGAATATGTTTCGTCATGACATGAAAAACAACATTCTTAGCAATATGAATCACACTCATACTGCGTTGTAGTGTTTTTCAATCCTCTGCTCATTGCCTAATTCTGTCATGAAACTCTGTAGCCAAATCATCTCTTTGTTAGCCTCAGTAATAGCAAAATATTCGACTTCCGTGGTTGAAAGTGCAACGATCTTCTGCAACCTGGAAACCCAACTTACCACCGTGTTCCCCAATATGAAGACATACCCTGTTGTACTTCTCTCTCGATCCACATATCTTGTTAGACCTGAATCTACAAATCCCTATAGATTGATCTCCACACTTTCATAGCAAAATGCCTTGTTGACTGTTTTCCTCAAATACCTAATAATCCACTTTTCCGCCTCCCAATGATGTCTGCCTGGATTGCCCATGTACCTGCTAACCACTCCCACTACATATGTAATATCTGAGCTCATACAAATTATCGCATACACCAAACTTCCAACTGGTGAAACATACAAAGTTCTCTCCATCTGTGATTGCTCTGCTTCAGAGTTAGACGATATGCCTTGGATAGTTTGAAGCGACTACCTAAGAGAGTGCTGGTTTCACCACTTATGTTGAACCTGTGTAGGATTTTCTCAACATAATCTGCCTGAGACAACTTCAGTGTTTTTGCACTTCTGTCCCTGCTGATTCTTATTCCAAGGATCTTCATGGTTGAACCTAAATCCTTCATCTTGAACTCATTTGATAGTTGTTTCTTCGAGTCCCTGATTTTTTTCATATATGCTTCTGCAATCAACATGTCATCCACATATAAGAGAAACATGATATAACAATTACCGAAGTGTTTGATAAAATAATAGTGATCTGCCTGACATTTCAAATACCCGTTGTTTGACATGAACCTGTCAAACCTTCTGTAGGGGGCTGCTTCAAGCCATAGACTCCTCTCGAATTTGCATGCCAAACATTCTTTGCCTGAAACCTTGTAACCTTGTAGTTGCACCATGTATAGCTCCTCCAGATCTTCATGTAAGAAAACTGTTTTACATTCTTTTGTTGGGGAGAAAATCTCTGTGTAATGCACTCGTTCTCTCTATTGGAAACCTTTCACAACAAGCCTTGCCTTGTAGCGCTTGCTACCATCTGACTTCTCTTTTAGCCTTTAAACCCACTTATTATGTAGTGCTCTTTTGCCATTTGGCAGTACCGTCAAATCTCAAGTCTGTTTTGACTCCAAAGATTGCATTTATTCATCCATAGCAAGCTCTCACTTCCTTGAATCTTCAACTTGAGTGACCTTCACAAATTAGTAAGAAATAGTGTAAAGAAGGAGAATATCTATGTACGGTTCGTATCACTTTGCCAGATCTTCCAACTTTTGTAGCAGGTGACTAAGGAACTTTCAGTGCTCTTTCTGGGTGAGCACTTGTTCCTTCTCCACCTACCTGATCACCAAAGTCTTCTATCTCAAATTCTCCGGATTCTTCAGAAATAGCCGACGGATTGTCTTTTGAGATTGTCTTTATACACCTTCATTTCATTAAAAGTGAATTTTAGCTCTGGATGAATTTCTGATTCTGATAATCCCATAAATTGTAGCCAAATTCATCGGAGCCATATCTAACGAAGATGCACTTGATAGATTCGAGTCAAACTTACTCCTCGACCCTGCATCCACATGCACATTTGCAAACACCCAAATACTGTTAAATGAGACAGACATATTTTTTTGTCACTTTAGGCTTCTTCAAGTAAGCCTTCCTCCACGGGTACTGGACTACAATTGATCAGATAAACTGCCGTGTTAACTGCTTCAACCCAAAAGTGTTTTGACAAGCATACATGCAACTTCATGCTTCTAGCACGCTCCGTGATTGTTCTGTTCATACGCTCAGCCACGCCACTTTGATGTCCTTGGGACAGTGAACTCATGCCTGACTCATTCTATAGCAGATAAATTCCTACATCCACCCTAGTTCCAACTACATCAATGAAATCAATAATTTCATTGATCAGATAAGCAGTGCCTTTAATGTTGCCCCGACTATCACTAATGCCCCTCTGGTCACCTTTCACAAATCACCCGTGAAAGTTGTCACGAGCCCTGATTAGTTAGCTGGCTCACATAGATGATATTTATCTTCAAACTTGGATCACATCTAACTTCAGTAAGTTTTCAGACTATTACATTTGACAACTTGATATCAACACCACCATTTTCTAATATACTGCAAGCCCTGTTATCTCCTAAATAAATTTTTCTAAATCATTATGAGTGTAGTTTTTAAAATCCTCTTTATTATTAAAAGCATGGAAATATGCACTTGAATCTATTATCGATGATTCAATATTGATTAGGAATAGCATCAGGGAGTTATTTTGGATTTCACCAGAGTAACTACTTTTCTGTCCTCCACCAAAAGCTGTCCTTGGAGCTTTGTAGTTATTGTTGAAATGCCCCTTCTTACAACATTTCCAACATTCTCCTTGCTTGACTTGGGCTTTCCTTTCTTGGACTTGGATCTACCTTTGCCTCTGCCTGTATTCTTGTCTAAATTTCTTCCTCTGTTAACAACATTTAACGTAGAAGCTGAAGGTTCACCATTTACTGCTTTTCTGCAAACTTCTTCATTTAACATCAAACTCATGATGTCATCGAAGTTCAACTTCGATGTCTCTGAAGAATTACTCACGTCTATTACTAAGCTATCTCAACTGTCCGACAATGAAAATCGTATTAACAATGCTCCGACCTCAGCATCACAGAACATAACTGACTCTTCACAGTGTTGAAGTTATTGAGATGGTTTGCCACTGAACTGCCTTTCATCATCATCATGTTGAATAATATTTCATCAGAAAAATTTTATTAGAAGTAAAAGATTTTTTCGCACATCTTGGCAAGTGCCACAATGAGGTCCACCTTAGTTTTCTCATTCACAATATTGAACCAACAAATGAGGAAAGTGACAACCTGGTCAAACTTAGTGCCGTTCGATCGAACACTTCCCATTCTTTTATAGGCACAAACTTGAGTTTCCTTGTGATTTCTTGTAGTGGCAAATATAATTTTTTTTGATACAATAAATTCTCCACCTGCATCTTCCAGAAAATGAAGTTCGCCTCATTGCACTTCTCCACTTTGAACCTTGCTTCTTCAGCCATTGCTCCCACTCGAATTGAACCCCGCTCTAATATCAATTTGATAAGAAATTCCAAGAACAATTCCCAACTTTACCGGGGCTTATGATCAATCAGAAACTAAACCACACTGCGGAAAACGGGATCGCCAAGATTCGAGGAACTGGAATAAAAATATAAACAGAAACACAATTAAATCAACTAGAAAAACACACGAGAATTCACGTGAAAAAACCCGAGAACGGGAAAAAACAATTGAGCCACCCTAACAAAACCTTCACTATGAAATTCAAAGAGTTTATACAAAGAACTCATACTAAATTTCCTCTTTACACATAAGGAAACTTAAAGGACACACTCCACAATCTTTCTTCTCCAATCTGACGCAAGAATTACGCCGAATAATCAAAATTCACCTTCTCGACTCTTCTCATCTTAACCGAGATATCTTTCGAAGAACTCCAGAGGAAGATACTCCAAGCTTC